CTGTAAACTTTCCTCATATGGTGGCTTTCATTGTGTCCTATAGATTTTGCTATGATGTTTTCATTTTTATTTAGTTTAAATTCCTTTCTCAATTTCTTTCTTTACCCAATTTTGATTCAGAAGTGTGTTATGTAGCTTCTAGAACTTTGTGTTCTTTCTATCATTTCCATTATTGTTGATATCCAGCTTTATTTCATGGTTATTAGATAAAATTCAGAATGTGATTTCAGCTTCCTGATATTTTTTGAGACTTGCATTGTGTCCTAATATGTGGTCTGTTTTGTAGAAAAATCCTATAGGCTACAAAGAACAATATATATTCTTAATATTCAGATGGAATGTTCTGTAGATATGTTAGGTCTATTGATTTATGATGTCATTGAACTTGAGTTTTCTTTTGCCAAATGACGTATATGTTCATGAGAATGGGGGATTGAAATCACCACCATCACTGTGGCAGGCTTCATCTGTGGTTTCAAATTTAGTAGTTTTTCTTTTATGAAATGTTGTGCCTTGTGCTTAGTTCATGTGTATTTAGGATTGTACCCTATCCTGTTGGGTTTCCCCTGAGTGAGGATAAAGTATGTCTATGTGTCTCTTCTGGTTAGTTTTGTCACATATTAGAATCCCTGTGCCACTCGGATCCTTTTCCCACCCTTTACCTTGAGGTGGTATCTGTCACTGGCCCAGAATCATGTTTCTTGGTGGCAGCAAAAAGATGGATCCTGTTTTCTGATCCAGTCTGTTAGTTTGTTTCTATTTATTAGGGAATTGAGACCAAATTAATTTTATTATCAGTTAATAAGAGATGTTATTGAATAGTATATTAATTTCTGTCATTTTGTTGATTTTATGGTATCCTCATGTGATTCAATGTTCTGGAATTGCATTTGTGTTTGCCTGTACATGTTTACCCTTTTCTTCAGATACAAATGTTCATTCCAGTATCTTCTCTAGAGCAGGATTAGTGGTTATAAATTAGATCTGAGGCTTTTTCTGAGTACAGTCGTCTTCACTGCCATCCACTGTTTTTCAGAGCTTGTAGAGCATGGGCCTAGTTCCTTCTGGATTTCAGTCTCCATTGGAAAATTTGCTATTATTTCAATGGACCTACCTTTGTATGAGACTTGATTTTTTTCTTCTCACTTTCAATATCCTTTGTTTTGTATGTTTGGTGTTTTGACTATTATATGATGTGGGGAATTTCTTTTCTGGTCCTATCGATTTGGTGTTCTATATGTCTCTTGGACCTTGATGAGCATCTCTTTTCTTAAACTATGGAATTTTTATTCTATAATTTTGTTGAAGATATTTTCTTTTCCTTCTATACTTATCATTCTCTAGATTTGATATTTTTAGAGAGTGAGGTCCCACACATTCTGTTTTGGGGGCTTGGAGGGGATTTGACCTTTTCTTCAGTTGAATGGTCCAATTCCTCTTTGTCTTCAAGAGCTGATACTCTCTTCCACCTGATCCAATCTGTTGGTGAAAGTTTCCTCTGAATTTTTTGTTTGAATTCATGAATTTCTTTTCAAGCTTTATTTCATTTTAGCTTTTCTTCAGTGATTGTATCTCTTTACTAAATTTTGTTTTCATGTCTTGAGTTACTTCATCCAACTATATTTTTGCAGTCTTCAATTTGCCATTTACTCATCTCCTCTTTGAATCCTTTGATAATTTTTTTTCTATTTGAATCCTTATCCTGTGTATCATCGAAGTCACCTTTCTCAGGGGACATTACAATGGCAGTACTAATTTGTAGTTATTCATGTGTGAGGTGGGATCTGGGCATCTAGAGTAAGGTCATTGGTAGCGTTTATTGTAGACATCTTGTCTTCTGTGCTGAGTGGGTGGCTGAAGTTCTGTGACCCATCACACCTGTTTGTCAGGTGATTGACCAGCTGTATGGGGTGAAGGGCTCAGTCTTTGGGCAATTCAGTGTTGATGTTCAAACGAGTAGATGTGGCTCGGCTCGAGCTCAGTGAGGTTTCCAAGCCCAGAGCAGACTTCCTGTAAAGTTACAAGATGCTCATAGCCAAGTTTCAGGGTCAGAACTTTTCTACAGGTACTAGGGGAGTTGGGCATGCTAGTTTTGAATCCCTGTGTGAAGAATGAGGGGAGGGGAGGCAGGCACAGGGCATGCCATCCTCATGCCTGTTGCAGGAGTTGCAGATGTGGTTATAGTGACCCTCCTTGGAGAGGGTAAGTCTTAAGATTATGGGTGCGGGTAGAGTTGGCAGTGTAAATCTAGTGCCTGCCTAGAGAAGACCGTGCAGCAGAGATGGGTGGAATTGGAGGTAGAAGTCTAGACTCCCTGCCTAGGGAGAGGGGACAAGGAATCTCAGCATTTCTTCATTTTAAACATTGGAAAATTACCTATATATCTTCATTTCAGATTATGGTCAATTGATAGACAGGTAGAGGGAGAAATATGTCAAACAGAGTAACCAGAAATACCCAAAGGGGCTAAAAAGAGAGACTCGAACCCAGAGGACAGGAACAGACCATCCTTCCTCCCTGGCACCTCCTGGCCTTTGTCATCTGTGACCGCCTGTGGGTTGGAAAAGCGCGAGGCCCATGCTGGGTGTGGCTTCCATTGTTTCCCAGTGCCTAGCACGGGCCCAGGAATTACAAGCGGGAATTATGAAAGGGGTGAGTGAACAAAGGGGCTAATGCAGACAGAGTGGAGAATGAGAGTCCCGTGGCCCAGGCAGCTCCAGCAGAATCTGCTGAGAGAGAGCTGCCATTGTTTCCTCAAAAGCAGGCAGCCTTGGACATGAGAGCTCCAGCCGGGGGCCTGCAGGAGCCTTTCTGTGGAGATGGTTTCACAAACCTGTCTTCTGTCCGCCTGATCCTGGAAGGGCTCTCTTCCCCTTCCCTCGTCTCCTGATATCATCTGACCCTGTGTCACCTGATACACCCCAACACTTCTGCCCCGAGGAACTCCCTTTCTTCCAAGTCACATGTGTCCCATTATCCTCTTATCCCCACAGCCTTCCTGTCTCTTCTCACCCTCTTGTAGTCCCTGAGCTCCTCTTTATGTATGCATGCATAGATATGTAAGAATCTAAATGTAACTAGATTCCTCCTATGATAGAAAACAACCTGTTCATCTCTATAGATCTCAAATGTATCTATTTGAATCTGGATTATTTCTCTTAATAGTCTCAGTGCCACCCATTTCCCTGAAATGCCATACATTGTTCACAGACACAAAGGACAAACGACATCATCAGCCTTCATTTCAATCCCCTCAGCGCTCCCTGCCCGGCTCCTCCCCCACAATCCCTCCTCTGGTGGCCACCTGTTTCCCACCCCAGAAGAAGAGCTGGTAAACTCTGGGACTCTGACAGGAAGAAGTGATCACCTTAGCCTCTGAGCAAAAGGCAGTTTTTGAGCCCCGCTCTCCTCTCATAGCGGCAGAGAGGATGTCTCTCTGGTGCATTCATCTCAGATGTCGGCTGGCTCAGACTGCCCAAAAGCTACTGAGCCACCCCACTGATTAGCTGGTCAGCTTCAGGATGACATCGGGGACTCTGCACGATTCATCCTAAGAATCACTGTGGCAGAAAAAGGATGATGTAGAGTTAGTGCCTATCAAGGCCCAGGATGGTGCTTGCTGCCAAAGCTGAGGATCTGAGTTTGATCCCCAGGACCCATGGTATAAGGAAAGCACTGACTCTGGCCATTTGTCCTCTGATACACACACACACACACACACACACACACACACACACATGAGCGAGTGTGACTTTGATCCCTAAATACCTGACTGTAGGTGGGGTAGGACTCACTGAATACATCTTCACACTGAAATTCAGAGAAAGTGATGACCCTCAATCTTTTTCCTGCCACTGGAGATAGGGCACCATGTGTCACCCGTGTGTCAACAAGTCACGCCAATGATGAGAAAGGTCAAGATGGAAATGGCAGTACAGATACCTCTTCCCACTGCACTCTTGAGAAAGAGCGGGCTCTGACAGCCCTGTGCTTGGGAGCCCCAGGCAGTTTTCTCGGGACTAACCTGGGAGGGAAGGAGTTGTAAGCAAGAGGCTCCCTGCAAGGGTGACAGGAAGGTACTCAGAAGCAGTCGGGTAGGTGGGAACACAACCCCATGGTCTTCGGTTCCCAGCTATGTCACGGGGAATTAACCTGCTGGAGATGGGCGGACACCTTACAATTTACAGAGTGAATGAAGATGGAAAAATATATGCTCAGTTACTCACATCAACTCTATGGTGTTCACCACTTAGGCAGAGTTTTTGAGACATGGGTGTCTACCACATGGGACACACCCAGGCTGCCCAGAAAATAGCAGAAGTGGCACCAGCTATTGCCATCTGGGGAAGTTCCCCCACTGTAATACAGTGCTTCCAAAGGGGACAGATCGCATAACCCCAAGCCGTGCCCTTCCTCTCCCCTCGTCCCCACGTGGAGCTGGAGGCCACAGAACTGGTACAGAACCTCAGCAGAGGGCGTGGGCAAGAACCCAGCATGGGTGGCTGGCGCGGAGACCTTTCTCCTACCAACCTCCGATTCAGGAGCAGTTATGCCCCGCCTACACTCCACATGCTTGGATCTCTTCTTGCTGCCATCAGATCCATTCTCCATCAGTCACTGCATGCCCACAGGCTGCTTCATCCAGGACCACCTGGGAGCCTGGAAGAAGTCATTGTTGAGGTTTTCCTAGTCCGTAGGACCAACCCTGCCTCTTCCTGCCCCTGGCCAGAGAAGCATCTTTTGGTGTATATCCTGAGAGACACTGAGTTTGGAGTTTTATTTGAGATAGTCCTGCTTTGTAGCCCAGGCTGGCCTGAAATTCACTATATAGAACTCCAAGGCCAGCTCCTGCCTCAGCTTCCAGAGTGTTAGGATTACAGATGTTCACCACCATGCCCAAGTGAGACACTGATTTAAAATTCAATAGCCAGAAATACTCTTTGTAGTGTCCCTGGCTCCCAGCACACTCACTGCCTGGCTCTGCATTTATTTTCTTTCAGGAGAAGAATTTGGACTGGTTTCCTCGGATGCGAGCCATGTCACTTGTCAGCAATGAAGGTGACAGTGAGCAAAATGAGATCCGGAACCTGCAGGAGAAGCTGGAGTCCACCATGAGTCTGGTGAAGCAGCTGTCTGGGCAGCTGGCAGAGCTGAAGGAGCAGGTCAGTGAGCCGGGGCTAGAGCCCCAACCGCTGTGAGCAGGGAACCCAGAGAACTCCTAACCTGTGCCATGCAATGGCAGCTCAGCACCAGGGACTCCCCCACCCGCTGTGCGGCATTTCTCACTCTGCAGAAAGACAGAGGGACCCCTTTGCTCTTGGTGATTGATCCTATTTCCTGCCTGGCTCCTTGCAAAGGTAGTATTCATTACTAGCTAAGGTCCTGATCAACCCTTTCATCATATGATATCCTTAGTACTCATAAGACATAATATCACCAGGCCCCTTGGTAACTATTAAATGATTCCAGCAACAGTGATAAGAATGAAACAGATATGTTTCAAACATCCCGTTTCCTAACCATGGAGAGACGAGTTGCTCTTTCTTCTCACCTCTATTTCTGGTAATTTACCTTTTAAAATAAATGCTTTTGTGGTGAATATATCCTGTGTGGAACCTGACAGTGGGTTCTTGGGGGAAGAATCCACAAAAGCAGCTGAAGGCGCGCGCTCTCTCTCTCTCTCTCTCTCTCTCCCCAGATGACAGAACAAAGGAAGAACAAGCAGAGGCTGGGCTTCCTCGGGTCAAACACACCCCATGTGAACCATCACATGCCACCACACTGACACCATGGGGGCACGCCGTGACCAGCCTTTCATCAGATGCCTGCCTCATCGCTGAAGGAAGGATGGAGATGGGGGGAGCAAACAGTGGCTATTGTTGAAAAGCTAAAAACAGCCAAGTGCTGAGATGCTGAGCCATTTAGTTCCCAGAACAATCCGTAACTGTGTTTTCACGCTTGAGAAGACTCAAGCTAAAAAACCGCACAGGGCACAGACTCTACAGGGCGCAGGAAGCGACCGGACTGCGGGGAGTGGGGAGTGGGGGTGGGGAGCAGCAGTCTCCCTCTGCTCCATCGATTGGCCTTGGACTTGTCTCACATGCTGACTGCAGCCTCTGTCATGGCTGGCTGGAATTTATTGCTTCGGATTGCAGCACACAGGGCAGAGACAGGAAGCCACACTTTGGTGGCTGAGTCTGACTAAGAAAAAATTTAAGAGATTAAAAACAAAACTGGAGTTGAAAAAGATATCTCATTAAGCTTCCGAACCTTACGTGTTATCAGACAGTTTCTTCGTGACATGAAACAGGAGGGGCTCAGAGCTCTGCACGCTTGGTGCTTTAGAGTTCACACCTCACACACTGCAAAGATAACTGGAGCAGAGTCGCTTTTTCCAGGATTCTGTGCAGGGCTGCACAGAGGAAGTTCATAGAACATGGCTAAGAACATGCTAAAGGTCACGTGATCCTGAAAGAGCTGCTTGAGTGGGGAATAGTGTTGAGTGCAGATGCTATTACAATACACAGGTGTTGACAAAGGAAACACTCACCGTGACCATGAACAGAGACTTACTATGGTGGTTTTGCCTTTTAGAAGCATGGATTTGTATTTGTGGTGCTTGAGGACCTGAGTGTTTCTATGCCTGCAGCTATGAGAAGGAAATCTGAGAAGACATTGAATATATAAGGATGTGCAGAATTTCGATGGCATATTTATGGCTGTTACAGTAACAGCTTTTCAAAGTGTAGGCAGATCATAATTCCTTCCCCCAAACTGTTTTAATGTTGTCTTGCAAGGGAGAAAATAACCTAGATGGGTAGATTATTTTTGGAGACTATTTTAGGCATTAGAGCCAAATGGAGACGAAAACTGCCAGCCATGACACTACATTCAGAGCCAGGCTTCTCAGATGGACCCTCGGGCCTCCAGATTCCTTAAACTCGCAGCCACCAAAGGCCACATGGGGTTTGTTACAACTTTTAAAGCTTTAGAGTGTTTCAATACAATTTTAGCTGTTGGCTCCTAAAAAGAAAATTCAAATCCTGGGTCTATGTAGACTCACTGTGCAGGCGAGAAGGCCGAGTAGACCTGTCTTCTACTTCACAGGGGTAGCCTGGGAGCCTGCCTTCTTCTTCACAGGGGTAGCCTGGG